CTAGGGCCAGGGCCTAGAGAATCTACCACTTAGATTGCGATAGAACACGCTGCTGCACTGGTCGTTGGTTCATACTGGTCGGCTAGGTTAGGTAGTGGAAACTCACACCTTCTCTACAGTAGTTTACGATTTTTTTTGAACGAATACTAGAGGTTCGTAAAATACAGTAGATGTTTTATTAAACAAGCCTTTCCACCGTGTGACGTCGACGGCTGAAACTGGCTGGCTGTTTATCTGGCTCTAACTTGGCATCGAACGCAATTAGGGGATTATCGTATCATGTTTCAAGACGGGTATATCTAGATAAAGTTCGACGTGAACAAGGCTAATGATAATAATAGTGCCGGTATACATTTTGTTGACTAATCGATCTGATTTTGGATAGCATCTGTTGAGCATACGGGTAATTATCTGTCCGCGCATAGGTTACTTAATTCTAATGACACAATGACTGCTCGGTTTCAAAAATTTATAGGCCTAGTATTATTATTATTCCATCCTGTAGGCTAAAATTAAAAAATAAGAAAAGCATACTATGTTGCAGTGCCAATACTCCCCTGCCCCTTTCCATTTTTTTCGATGTCATTTTCCTTCTAGTTTTCCTACTGATTTTTTTCCAATCAGGTTCATTATACTTTATAAGGCAGAACACATTATTTTATTGTATTTTGTGTTTTCTTTTCATCAATTAATTAGTGTCTAGTCATTGTAAGGTTAGACTATAAAGTTGTGTCGATGATACAAAGGTACCATCAATTGACTCTTCATCATGCTTTCGCAATACAGTACTGATGAAGCCTAAAGACACACTGTGGAAACGTTTAAACAGTTTAAATCCGGGTTTACATAAGTAATAGACGAAAGAAAACAGGAAATCTTTATTATAATACCGATACCACACCTATTTTCTAGTCGTGCTATATATCCATATTTGTCTGCAACAACAAAACAAAAAAAAATAATAATCTCCGGCAATATTATCTACAGTACTTTTGCAGTCAGTCCCCATTAGTGATTCTCGTCTACGATTATTGCGCCTACTTTAATTTCAAATTATCTGTTACGGTTGTTGGTATCATAACATGCCTATATAATTAAATATATTTAATTTAATTATTGTTATTTAATTTGTTTATCTATCTGAATATTATGTTAATTTATGTTTTATAAAGTACCAGTATGCGTATTATTCAATTCAATTTAATTTCAATTCAATTGAATTCAATCAATTTATTCCAAAAACCTCCGGAACGGTGAAGTAAAATAGTACAACATAACAATTTCATTAACATGGACAATTTCATTACAAAAACCAGAACAATTGAAAAAAAACCAAGAAAAAAAGCTTACAAATTCTCAAAGTACAAAATTCAATTAGATCAATAAAAGGAGAGAACAAAACACCATTTTAAGAGGTACAGACAAAACAAGAGACAAAACAACAGATCAAGAAAATACTAAAACACATAAAACAACAAATAAACACAAAAAATGTTACTTGCACTTCGATTTCAGTATATTTAAATATTAAGAATATAAAAATTACGTATAAGCTAAACAAAAGCTCGCCCTTGACAGACAGCAGTAGAAACGTGAAACCTTTACTGGTATATATA